TGACTAGATTCGTGAGGAAATTCTCGGAGTTCTAGTTGAGATGTGACCAATGGAGTTCAACCCTGTCGGGTGTAGGCAGTAACTACCAAAGACAAATGGGTGAGAACGCGCAAAATCCGTAGATCAGTCAGAGTTAGACATTAACACCGTTAGATGCCGGCCCAGTGGTCCGATGGTTAGGCGTTCGCGCACAATACCGAAGGCCCCGAGTTCGAATTCTGTGACGTGCAGGAGTCGTGGAAGCGCACTACTGATGAGTCCCATACCAGGACGAAACGGCCGTCCAGTGCTTTCAGGCTTCTAATGGTGGTCTAACAATGATTGATTGACGATTTCAAATCTTTAAATTATTTGTAAACAGGAATTATTTGTTTTGGGTGGAAGTAAGGGACTGCTCGGATGATGTAGAGAGAGACGTTAGATGGTTGGAAGTACTCAACGAGATACCCGTTATTCAGGTTTCATGCTAGCTGGGGCTCATCAGCGGCACGTACCTGGAATCTTGAGGCAACGGGTGCTATCTGTAGGCGGGGTCATCTAGTTTCACACTTCAAGATTGTGCTATCTGGTCTGTGACTGATATCTTTTTGGAATGAGATTCTTACAGTATATTCGTTACCGGTGTTGTGTTTGCCTAGTCTTTTAATGCTGATCGGATGTGAGGTGATTTAATAGTAGATGATCGCACAAAAAATCATGTATTCATCAAAGTTAAACATTGACATCCTTGGATGCCAGCCTAGTGATTTGTAAGTTAAGCGTTCGCTAGGAACCAAACGTCCTGAACTTGATCTCCTCCCTGACTGGGCGTGGATGTGCACTGCTGAGGAGTCCCATACTAGGATGAAACCTCTGTCCAGTGCTTCAGTGGTTTTGCTGACGCTCTAGCTAAGATCAGTTCGTGATTTTAATGAAATTCAACAGTTTTCACAACCCTATACTGCTACCATTGTTTACGATGGGTAATTGCCCTACTCATAACATAGTTAAACTGAACTACAAAATCATTCATTGTTGAGTATACTTAACTGTTAATGTAATTTTATTAATCAAATCGTTGGTTTATATATTCATCCTTTAAGTTGTACTTATGTGAATGTTTTAGGTAGCAATACATTATGCTGTAGAATCTTGGTAAACCTTTTCAATGACATATTTCCCCCTAAGATTGTACAGCTGTCATTTTAAACTTGTTTTATCGAATTGCTAATGTGTGTAAACCGCCTATGATGCTTTTATAAGAAGCTAAATACTATAAAGATATAAATAGAAACACCATAGTGGTAAACATGTTGATAATAACATTGAATATATGTTTTAAGAACTATTTATTGTAACCAAACATATAGTTAATAATAACGCAATCTTTATGTACAATAATAATCATAATTCATATTATTCTCCATGATAATTGCCTTACTCTTTCGATGTTGGATGATTGAAGATAGGTAGTTGTTACGCCTGCACGTAAACACGTCAACTTGATATGCTTGAATTATTATGAGTTTACCTAATCGGTAAACGAGAGCGAAAATCGAGGATCCGATGACACGACATGCTACTCAAATCCGATTATTCCAACCCCCATATTGAGTAAAAGAAGACAAGACTTGATATGAAGTAGAACCTGTATTCTACAAGCATCCAGAAAATACGAGGTTCGAATCCAGCAGAGAATCAGGATCCCGGACTAGGTCGAATAGGAAACAGCATCGAAATCTGTGACATTGACAGTTAGGGCGACCAATAGGAAGCAACATTTGAAGTGACATTGATAGTCAGGGCAACCATCAAATTGACCAGTAGGAATTAACCAATAGGAATTGACCGATAATTCTCTTAGGATATTGGATGAATATCCTAACAATAGTCTACAGAAAACACTTGACTTAATCTCCATGATAGTTGGTACCCATCAGCTAAGTCTGCTTACAATCTTGAAAGAAGTGATGACTGTCATGGGCTTTGAGCCTTAGTCATCCAGTTTCACAATTCAACTGTGTAAAAATTGAAATCGATAAAATTCGAGTTCAATCAATGAACCTAATGGTTGCAAAGATGTAATGTCCAGTTTAACTGTCAAGTCATTGTTCTAACAAATTATATTTCTTCTATAAATAACTCTCTTTCTATCTATCTATCTTTTTTTTCTCCTCATTTCATCTAGGTTTACACTTATTAGGTTTTATATCACAGAAATTTTTAAAACGTTATTATTACATACGTCCAGCACATTTTATTTATCCTGATGAAAAATCAATTCATGGAAGTCGTTTATGGTTTACTGCTTTGTTGAATCGTTGTTTACATCGAAAATTATTAGCTATAGCTATATATGTTCAACGTAAAGGTCAATTTCCTCGTTTAGTTGCACTATTACCTCAGGTAATCCCCAATTCAATTGTATGTGATAATTATTGTTACATTAGTGTTTTAAAGAATTATTAAATTTATTGTATCATAATTATATTACAATCAATTGGAGAGTTTAAGGGTCTGTGTCGACGTTGGTTCGACATTAGTTATATTCATAATTTGACTTCAATTAAAAAAAATTATTGAAAAGTAAGAAGTATTATAGTTGTTACGCCTGTACGTAAACACGTCAACTTGATATAATTGATATACTATTACGAGTTTACCTAGTCGGAAAACGAGAGCGAGGAATCGAGGATCCGGTGACATAACATGCTACTCAAATCCGATTATCCCAACCCCCTTCTTGAGCAAAATAAGAAGACTTGATATGAAGTAGAACCTGTATTCTACAAACATCCAGAAAGTACGAGGTCCGAGTCCAGAAGAGAATCAGGATCCCGAACTAGAGATCAAGGACCGGGTCCTGGTCCTGGTCGTGGTCATAAAACGTTACCTCTGATGCGTATATATACATTTTGGTCGAATAGGAAACAACATCGAAGTGTGTGACATTGACAGTTAAGACGACCAATAGGAAGCTACATTTGAAGTGACATTGATAATAGTCAGGACAACCAGTAAGAAACAACATTGGCGTAGGTGACATTGATATTTAGGACGACCATAAAATTGACCAGTAAGAATTAACCAATAGGAATTGACCAATAATTTTCTTAGGATATTGGATGAATATCCTAACAATAGTTAGCTATTTTATCAACTTTTTAGAATTCCTCAGAAGTATCAGTTTACGACTTTATGTAATAATCAATCTGACATCTTTAGAAATTTTAGTAGGAGCTTTACCCTTAAGCTACTGAGTTAGAATCCACTTCACGATATAAAACTGTCTCCAGATGGCGGTATTTTATACTGAGTTGAATCATTTGTTCGATACTTTTCGTTTCTTCTTGACGAGTGATTGACTATAAAGGGAGTGAAATAAATCCTACTTTTGTCAAAACACTAATTGCTATTAACTTAAGTTAGTTAATATATTTGGTGTGTTCAGTCAGTCACTCAACAACAACATAGAACATCGTACGTGCGTACGTCAGTTCAAGTTGCCATACCACATTAGCACGGAAATGCAATTGTCGATTCAAATCTCATAGTAGTAGAGGTAGTAGAGGTGTAGTGAACGAGAACACAGGTGGGCCAACCGAATTGTATTTGACGAAAATTACAGAGTTACTCAGTAAAATAGGAAAACCATATCGTAAGTTGTTCATTTGCAAAATATCAGTTCATCATATCGAACTGGACTGTTCCTGTTGCAAAACATCAATCCATTGTCATTACTATTCATGCGTTTCATACAAATTCCATTGTGTTCCCACTCTTCCTTTCTTGATCTTCCCCCATCTTCTGCTGCCAGACATTTCGTTGACACTCATGCCATATACTACTTATAAGTAACGCGCACCACACTAGTAGTTGTAGAGAATAATAACTATTGATGAGTAGTTCCCTAACTAGGACAAAACAACTACTGAGTACTCTTTAGTCATTATTATTTTCTGTAGTTTCTAATCAGTTCATGATAAATATGTAATATGTAAATATGCAATTAACTGGCACACTGAATAATTTCTGGTTACTTTATTTAGGCAGAACAGAAAAATGAGGATGATGATGATGACGATGACAATCATAATGATGGCAATAGAATTCAAACAATGCCACCAGGATTTCATGTTATATTTTTACCTTATGCTGATGATTTTCGTGATATTGAAATTCCAACAAATGAAATAGGTATGATATAATATTATTATTATTGTTGTTGTTTCTTTTAAGGATATGATTTTAGATTTATTTTAACATGGTATATTAATTACTAACAAATAATGCAATTCAGTATGACAGGTACTGACTTATGTACTAGCCATAATCAGTCAGTCAGCTACAACGTAGATTCTCTGCTACATACGTACGTACGTACGTACGTGTTAGGATATTCATCCAATATCCTAAGAGAATTATTGGTCAATTCCTATTGGTTGATTCCTACTGGTCAATTTTATGGTCGTCATAGATATCAAAATCACGTGCTCAGGTGTTGTTTATTATTGCTTGTCCTGACTATCAATGTCACTTCAAATGTTGTTTCCCATTGGTCGTCTTAACTGTCAGTGTCACAGACTTCGATGCTGTTTCCTATTCGACCAAAATGTATATATACGCATTATCTGTAACGTTTTATGACCACGACCATGTCCAGGGCTCGGTCCCGGATCCCTAGTTCAGGATCCTGATTCTCTTCTTGATGCTTGTAGAATACAGGTTCCACTTCATATTAAGTCTTGTCTTCTTATTTTTACTCAATATGGGGGTTGGGATAATCGGATTTGAGTAGCATGTCGCGTCACCGGACCCTCGATTCTCGCTCTCGTTTTCCGACTATGTAAACTCGTACTAGTTCAAGTATGTCAAGTTGACGTGTTTACGTCCAGTCGTAACAGTACGTACATCAGTTCAAGTTGCCATGTCCCATTAGCACACAGAGATCGAATTGTTAATTCGAATCCTATAGTAGTAAAGATAGTCAAAGTATAGATGGTAATCGAAAAGATTAGGGATCCAAGATTTGATTCGGAAAGTATATCTCAGAGGAATTAATTATTTTGAAAAAAGGGCGAGAAAAAAACGGTCATGAACAATTCAGAGGATTAGATGACACAATGAATGGATGTACCTGAGCCATTACAAACAGTTTTGAGCCATGTCATTCAATGTCTCTAACCGTCGGTTAATATTGTCTTTCGGACCCTAACCAGGTAGTCTACACCTACTAACATGGCTCACTCCACTTGTCAATGAGTTCATGGACTTGTTCCATGTTTTGGTTTGGCTATCTTCAGCTTTCTTCCAACCTATCCGTACACCACAAATCACTGCTCGTTGAGGCAGTTGGTGGTTGGGCATTCGTAATACATATCCCAACCATCTCAACTGATGAAGATTCACTACTTTACCAAATGATCTACCATTCTTACCTAGTAACCTTTTCTTAACACCAGCATCACTTTCTCAGGCATCTCAAGATATATGAGCCATGCTTCGAAGACACCTATGATCGAATACTAAAAATCTAAGAATTTCCTCTATTCTTACTGATCATGTTTCACATTCGTATAGTGGGACGGCGGAGCGAACTTATGCGCAGTAAACTCGTCCTTTGATTAGCAGACAGATATTTCGCCACTAGTCATAGAGAATATAGCTTTCAATTGCTAGATCTCATGTATGAATCCTGCTCTATCTACATCCATTTCGGTCTATTGGATAGTATTGTAGTGAAGGAGAACACAAGTGAGGGCAACCGAATTGTATTTATCTCAAATTACAGAGTTAATTGGTAAAATTGGAAAATCATATCGTAAATCGTTAATTCGCAAAATATCAACCAATCATATCGAACTGGACTGTTCCTGTTGCAAAACATCAATCCATTGTCTTACATTTCACTGTTCATGCTATTTCATACAAATCCCATTGTGTTCCCACTCTTCCTTTCTTGATCTTCCCTCATCTTCTGCTGCCAGATATTACGTTCTTACTCGCGTCATATACTACTTATAAGTAGCGCGCACCACAGTATAACTAACTCTTACACAAATAAACTGTCGCTTCAATTCGAATACATAAATCTATATTTGATCACATTTGTAAATCACAATGAATCATTTTTTGATTGTGTTATACAGTTAGGGAATACTATTTACATGTTTAAATTAACAGTGAATCATATCCGAATTTAAATCTAGTATTGAATAACTCAAAGTTAAGTTAGTTAGTCATATTATATCCACTAATATGTATTGAATAGTTTTGACCAAATTTTTTTATGTCCAATTTTATGTATAGAAATTTTATTACTCTAATAATGAACTTTGAAATTTAAAGTGTTCTGTTATATAGAATAGAATAACCGGAAACAAATTGTTATGTATGTATGTCTTATTTGAAATGTGGACACTATAAGTAAAGTAATAGTAATCATATTTTTAGGCAAACAACGACCAATTATAAACTAAACTAAATTAGTATAAAAAATGTCCAAGATTGCACATACCACCACTCCAGTAATAATTTCAATAATATTACTAGTATTGTGTTTATTGTTTTTAGGGAAGCATTTTTTTCAAGACTAATGTTACTTGTTAGACTACCATTAGAAACCTGGAAGCATTGGATGGCCGTTTCGCCCTGGTATGGGACTCATTAGAGGCAGTGCGCAATCACGACTCCTGCACGTCGCAGGATTCGAATCCGGGACCTTTGGTCTTGCGCGCGAACGCCTAACCTCTGGTCCACTGGGCCGGTATCCAACGATGTTCATGTCTAACTCTGATCGATCTACAGATTTTACGCTACCTTACCCATTTGTGTTTGGTAGTTACTACCTACACCCGACAGGGTTGAACTCCACTGGTACTGTACTAAGTTACATCCTCCTTTCATAATAGTTTATCTGATTCTAAATTCTGTAGTTTTAACCGATAGGTACACTGTACATCCAAAGCATTGTCTTTATTGACAGACTTATCAGTAAGAGATCAATATTTTGGTTAGAAAAAAAAACAAGCATATATATATACCAGTTACGTAATATAAAAAAATAAACTCATAAAGTTATTCTAATCAATTGACGTCAAACTGACCGAATGCATTGATTATTATTCTTACAATATCATATAATATACCATAAGTTGAAAATCATCTTTTACTTTTATTTTTTATCATTGAAATTCTCTTTTCTCCTTCTTGAATCGTAATAATATCATATCTAATATGTTCTACTACGATTATGATATGTTTGAATGCTATTACGAGTTGTTCACCTTATACGGTAAACAAGAGCGCAGATCAATGATTCAGTGACATGATAGGCTATTTTAATCCGTGGGAAATGTAAGCTCAAGGTCAAATTGTGGTGCGCGCTACTTATAAGTAGTATATGACGCGAGTGTCAACGTAATGTCTGGCAGCAGAAGATGGGGGAAGATCAAGAAAGGAAGAGTTAGAACACAATGGAATTTGTATGAAACGCATGAATAGTAGTGACAATGGATTGATGTTTTGCAACAGGAACAGTCCAGTTCAATATGATGAATTGATATTTTGCAAATTAACGATTTACGATATGGTTTTCCTATTTTACCAATTAACTCTGTAATTTTTGCTAAATATGATTCGGTTGCCCCACCTGTGTTCTCGTTCACTACAAAATGATCAGCTTATTCACGAAAACACGAAAAAATCCAAAATTCGGACCTTTTTCAAGTGATTTTTGGGGATAGATTAATAATAGTGTAGGCAGTTTTACTACTTCTGGAATTTGCCTTGATAATTTCATTTGATTATGTCAATCTTCTGTGGGAACTTGAATCGATACACATACATGTATGCTAACTTCTATGTTGTTAAATGTTTAGATGATCACAAGTAGTTTATTGATTCAATTTAGTTTGTAACAAACATCATGTTCACCGTTATTTTAAAAATTCTTTCTTAGCCAATGAATCGCAAGTGGATATTGCTAAAGCTATGATACGTAAACTTATGGTACCATTTACACCTGGACAAATTGAAAATCCAACATTACAACGATTTTATGCACTTCTTGAAGCATTAGCTCTTAATCGTGAAACTCAATCGGAAGTTATTGATCATACATGTAAGTTTTAACATTGTTTCATATTAACGATCACTAACAATTTCTTAAACATGACATTGTTCATTACTCAAATGAGGCCCGATTAGGTTAATAGTGATGTTGAGATGGTGGAGAAAACTTGTCGCTCAGGTGGATGATTGTGGTGGTGTTTCGTTCTCTGATCTGGTTGTTTTGGTTGTGGAGCTTTCATTGTTCTTCTACTGAACAACATCATCAGCACAAACTTCAGATAGGGGTGAAGCATTCGAATTTCTCCACATTTGACCTGTCGTTGTTTGCACATTTGTTTTGATTGTATCCCCTTTTTGATCTGTTTCTTGATCCTGTGTCACCTATGATTTTTCTGATTGGTTGATAAGTCGGGTCAATGTCGATGTGTCTGTCGATTGCTGATTGGCCTGAGTGCTAAGCTTCTAAAAAGTCCCTAGTGTTCTTTGTCCTCCCCCTATCCAGTATTTCCACATTGTCCCAATCAAATGTGTGTCCATAATTGTCGGTATGTATTGAGATAAGCGAAGCGTTGTCGTGGCGTTTGATTGATAATTGATGTTCACGTAAACGGAGCTGAAGAGGTCGTCCACTTTGTCCTATGTAGTGTTTTTCACAGTTTGAGTAATTTATTTTGTAGATGATATTTGGCTTTTCTTCCTTTGTCATTTTGTCCTTTGGTCTACATAGGGTTGATTGAAGTGATTCTGTTGGTTTGTGTGCCACACTTATTCCAAATGGTTTCATTAGTCGTGCTGTATATTCCGGTATGTGTTTTATGTATGGTAGGATGATCCATTTATTGGTTCCTGTACTTGATGTGATGTGTCAGACTATGAGACTGATTAGTCCATGTTTGAATGTCATAGAAAATATCACTCCCCATAAGATTTCAGATACATCTTGTTGATGAGTATCAACTAATCATGAAATCCAGGTGCAGAGTAGTATAGTGTGTGCTAATGTCTTGAGCTCACAGGACTTATCCCAGCCTTTGGATAAATTAATTAACCCATTCTTCTCGAGTTATTCAAATGCCTTTCGATCTTGTCTATTATTCGTTAATCTCCTTGGCTGAATTCATTTAGTGCGTATGTGTATTGCTTCGCATTTGATTGGTTCAATCCCCTTCTGTACTAGGCTTCGTTTTACCTTTCACTTCATATTCTCATGTCTGTCTGTATGAACGATTATCCGAAATAAACTCATCGAACTGCTTCTTATTACCACTGTCGCACAAACGAGGTTCGCCTAAACAATCATATTCGCAAATTAAAGGGGAAGATTTATTTCATAACATATCCAATCATTCGTTGATACTGGAGTCATTAAAGTGATGAGCCTCACTTCTAATGTAATGCAGGCCACCAAAAAAGAGTTTACTGGTAACTACCTCCAACCAAACAACACCACATAAAAGTGGTTAAAATTTTTGTGATAATCAAAGTTTTCACCAATCTAACCAATGAGCACTGTGTATTTTCTACATAAAGCTTTATTCTAAGTTATTATAAAGTTGATGGATTTTAATATGATATTTATTATCATAATTTACCATTCATTGTGAAACCATTGAGTTTCTTCCAGTAGTTCTCTGGTTTTCACCATAGATTGATAATGATCTGGGGAAATTATTGGGCAAATTACTTGCTGTTAATCCAATATAATTCCCTGATAAGATTTCTAACTTTAATCGTGAAAAAGATTGTTTGATAAAATTTCCATGAAGAAACAGAAGCTAAATATTGTGGTAATAAAATTAATAAACAAAGAAATTACTACTTGGAATGTTTATGAAGATTGTCCAATTTTTTCAATTAAGTAAACTGACTTATCTTTGTGAAACAACCTTTGAATATCTAGAGGGAAGCACAGTATTCAGTGGACAGCTAGGACGCAGCTGGACGATCTGGACTTCCCAGATGACCTGGCTCTACTATCGCACACGCAACAACAAATGCAAGAGAAGACGACCAGTGTAGCAGCAGCAGCCTCTGCAGCAATAGGTCTCAACATACATAAAGGAGAAAGCAAAATTCTCCGATGCAACACAACATGCACCAAACAAATCACTCTTGATGGAGATGCCTTAGAGGAAGTTAACACCTTTACATATCTGGGCAGCATCATCGACAAGAAAGGTGGGTCCGATGCAGATGTGAGGGCGCGGATCAGCAAAGGAAGTACGGCATTTCTACAGTTGAAAAATATCTGAACTTCAAACATATATCAACCAACACCGAAATCAGGATTCTCAATACAAATGTCAAGACAGTTTTACTGTATGGAGTGGAAACTTGAAGAACTACCAAAGGCATCATTCAGAAGATACAAGTGTTTATTAACAGTTGTCTACACAAAATACTTCGGATTCATTGGCCAGACATGATCAGCAACAACATAATGTGGGAGAGAACAAACCAGATTCCAGTGGAGGAGGAAATCAGGAAGAAGCGGTGGAAGTGAATAGGACACACACTACGAAAAGCACCAAACTGCGTCACAAGACAAGACCTCTCTTGGAACCCTCAAGGTGAAAGGAAAATAGGAAAGCCAAGGAACACATTACGCCGAGAAATAGAGAAAGACATAAGAAGAATGAACAGCTATTGGACAGAACTGGTAAGGGAAGCCCAGGACAGAGTTGGTTGGAGAAAACTGGTGGGCGGCCTATGCTCAATTGGGGGTAACAGGCATAAGTAAGTAAGTAAGTTCAAAACATGTAGGTATTGATCAGTTTCATCTTCCTGGAGTAGGATTCCAAGGAATCAGATATAAGACCTCAGCACCAAAGATCGAGAGCGGGTCTCGCACTCGAACGTTCAACGTCTAAACCAGCGAACCAGAATCCCATCCATCGATTCCTACTATCTCACGCCCTTATTTTAATGTACTTGATAAGTGGTAACTGGCTCACGCTCGACATGGTTGGACTTCACTTGACATGGTTTCTTACAATTAGTCGTTAATGAGCTCATAATTAATTGTCTAGGAGATTTATGGATATTATGAATTGATGGAGTTCGGACATGTCAGCCGTTAGATACTAGTTCAGTAGTCTAGAGGTTAAACGTTCTCACTCGAAATCGTAGGTCCTGGGCTCGATCTCTGGTGGCGAGTTTGTGAATACTCGCTCAAGGTTGAAACAACTGTCAACTACTCCAAGATTTTCAATTGTTATTTTAGTAGGGTAAGTCTCTACAGATCACCGTTTCGGTGAATTAACTGATTTTACTTTCAATCGTTTAAACGTATTGAAGTTGTTCATTTCATTATTTCGTGATAATGGTATAAACACTAAAATTTTGTTTTATGGAAACATTTTTAGTACCTAAATTTGCAGCTATCAAACGAAGAGCCAGTGATGAAATTACAGCTTTTAAAGAACATTTTAAATTAGATAGCTTGAATATATCAAAAGTAAGTTTTCAAAAGTATTCAAATAAAACTATTTCATTTGTCGGTCAATAAAATCTAAAATCGAAATGGATACAAACTAACCCTGTGCTTTTAACATAACTAAGCGTTCACTGTGAGACCTGAATGTTTTAGGTTCGATTTTTGTAAGCGGTAGTTGTTCAGTTGTTTCTGATGAGGAGTCTCTTACTAGGATGAAACATTTGCCCAGTGCACCCTGGTTTTCAATGGTACTTTATGTGAGATTAATGCGATACGAATATCACCTGCAAATTGTTAGACCCTTAATAGAACAATCTTTATTTTCACTGATTTTAAACAGCAACTTAATAGTAGTAAAATGATTTAACTTTCCGCGTGCTGGATTACATTTTTGAAACTATGCTTCAATTAGTTCGGCGTAGGATTACTTATTTAAGTCTGTTTCTCATGAGACACAGGTCGCCAACTAGGAAAGTGTAAGCAGTGAAGTAACATTCTCCTAGCTGTCATATGTAAATGTGTAACTGAGAATCTATGTACTTGACCGAGTATTTTGAATGAGCTACATGAGTTTTAGTAATTTATAAATAAATTTATTGAAAAAAATATTGTTTGTGTTTCATACGGTTATTTAGTGGTCTTGTTAAGCACAGAACTAAGATGTCTATCCGAAACTGACTAACACTTTTCAAGGTAATTTACCTTCAGTTTGGGCGGAGACATTTCATTCTAACAGTAATTCGGAACTTATTTTGTCGCCGAATCACTATCTTGAAATGTGTACAGAATCCCAATGTGCAAACTAGCTAGTTATCAATCAAGTTTAATGTCAGTCATCAAACGTTCACTGTTCAATAATAATTTGTTATAAACGTTTAGTTGATTTGTTGTTTTATATAAAATACTGAGTCAGTAAGGGAATTTATAAGATTTTAGATATTGTTGTTGCTGTTTCGTTGACGAATATTATTGTGCGCGAACGCCTAACCATCGGACCATCCGTAGATCAATCAGAGTTAGACATTAACACCATTGGATGCCAGCCTAGTGGTCCTATGGTTAGGCGTTCGCGCACAATACCGAAGGTCCCGGGTTCGAATCCTGCGACGTGCAGGAGTCGTGGATGCGCACTGCCTCTGATGAGTCCCATACTAGGACGAAACGGCCGTCCAGTGCTTCCAGGTTTCTAATGGTGATCTAGCAATGATTGATTGATGATTTCAGCTGTATAATTTTCATCGTAACTGGAAACTAAAAAGACTATATTGAAACATTCACTTATGATTCATGCATGTATCAACATAATCTGTTCAAATTCAACCTTAAATATTATTTAGTATTGGGGTAATACAAATTTATTGGAAACCAGGACGGAATTGTTTAAGCCGTTTTGTTTTTCGCGCTGTACACCACAACAGTGCTCAATCATAACTCTTCAGTGGTCAAATGCAAGACTTTCATGTCTAACGATGAACACACAACTGTTGTAACCATTGAGTTAGCGTGTTATACTGTTGTTTCCACTTTAATTAGATTTCAGTAATTCATAGCCCTAAATCATTTTAAAATAAAATTAACTGACCAAAATTATTAATCTTAGTATTTTAGGTAACACTTATGATTCCATGAATGATATTCATGGTACATTAATTGCTTCGTCCAAAGTACAGTTTGAGTAATAAAAAGTATCCTAACATAGATCTGAACCGTCTTGATTTCTCTACGAATTACTGGATAGTATAACTACTTTCGACATTACGTTGTGGTGATGACTTTAGTTGGCTAGCGGTAATTATCATCAGGATAAGTTGACGCGTAGGCTTTGTGTAAGATTTATGTATACTGTTGATGAAAACGTTATTATCTCCAGGCTTCAGACAAATACAACGCAGAACTTCGTACGTCGGTATATCAGTTCAGGTTGCCATACCGCATTAGCACACCGACGCAATTGTCAGTTCAAATCACATAGTGGTAGAGATAGTAGAAGTATTAGCAGTAATGAAGAAGATTAGGGTTCGAAGATATGATTCGAGAAGTATAATTCAGTAAGATAAATTTAGAAGGAGAAAGATAAAGGTGATGATGTATTCAGAAGGTTAGAATTTGAGAGAACACAAAGAGTGGATGCACCTGCGCGATTGCAAACGATACTTGAGCCATGTCATTTAAGGTTTCTAACCATTGGTGACTATCGTCTCGCGGACCCCATCCATGTAGTCGACACCTACTAACATGATTCAGTCCACTTGTCAGTGACCTTATTAACTTGTGTCATGTTTTGGTTTGGCCGCCCCTAGCTTTCTTCCAACCTACTCCTGCACCACAGCTCATAGCTCTTCGAGGCAGTCGGTGATTGGACATACGTAACACATATCCCAACCACCTCAACTGATAAAGTTTCACTAGTTCATCTATTGATTTGCCATCCCCACCTAGAACTCGTTTTTTTAACTATAGCATTGCTTACCCGGTTGTCCCAGGATATACGAGCAATGCTTCGAAGACACCTATGATCGAAGGCAAGCATTCGACGAATGTCCTCTCCTGGCTTCAAACCATCCATAATGTGTGTATCAGTCACATGCTTAAACCTGTCTCCGCCTACTTAGTTTTAGGGAACTGCGACAGTAACTCTTATTTTCACATTAGAAATCTAGCTGAAAATCAATAGCTTAAACGTGAATTTACTTGCTAAGTTGTATTTACTTCACCTTGTCACTAATACCATTCATCCCATTTCTTCTCCCTTTTTGTACCACAGAAACCTCGTCTTCCCCAATCCACATGTAGTCAAGATGTAAAATGTTGTCTCTCTGAGATAGAATGTAAAGAAGCTGTTCAATTAGGCAATCTGCATAAATACACTGTACCTGTATTACGTGAAACAATCAAATCACTTGGTCTTAAAATTTCAGCCAATAAAAAATCAGATATTATACAAATCATCATGAATCATTTTGCTAAAGAATAATCATTTGCTTTTTTCATCAGTTTGCCAGGGTTTTTTTTTAATTTTTTTATCCTATTTTACCCCCCCCCACTCCGAATCTTTTTCACGTTTTCTTTCAAATAAATGGTATATCAGTTATCCAATTGTGTATAAATAACAAACAACATTGCAAGTGTTTCGCGGGAATTTTTTTTTTAAAAAATATTTTTAAATATTTTGATTAATGTTCAATGAGAAAAAAAAACAAATTGTCATATATTTTAATATCGTTTTAAGAAAACTTTGTCCTTTGAATATAATTCGGTGTTTTTTTATGGTTTCCAAAAGGGAAAAACAGTTGGCTTACTGTAGAGTAGTAATTCAACGTGACTACGATCAATAATTTGTTGGGATGAAACAATACTGGTAACATTGCTTAGGAGATTTTCTTAATATGTTTGTATTTTATTTTAGATATTGAGTTAGTCACATACAATTCACCTACTGAGCATTTTTGATATCGATTAGGTAAGATGACAGAATTGTGAAGAGATTTAATGCCTGCCACCGAATTGCTTGAAATGTTCATGTACAGTTTGTTTGATGAATATTCGTTCAGAGTTATGACACTATGGAGACATTTTCAACACTATAGTGTATCTAAGAAGATAGTCAACGTCATACGAAATTCTTATGATGGATTAAACTGCGAAATTGTGCACGGAGGTCAGCTGACAGACTCGTTCGAGGTGAAGACCGGTGTCAGGCAAGGTTGTCTACTCTCACCCTTTCTCTTTCTCCTGATGATCGACTGGATTATGAAGATGTCAGCATTTGGAGTGAAGTACGAGATGCAGTGGGTAGCTAGGATGTAGCTAGACAATCTGGACTTCGCAGATGATTTGGCTCTTTTATCCCACACTCAAAAACAAATGCAGGTGAAGACGGTCAGTGTAGCAGCTGCGTCAACATACACAAAGGGAAAAACAACATACACCTATCAGGTCACGCTTGACGGAGAAGTATTGGAAGATGTAAAAACGTTTACTTATTTGGGCAGTCTCATTGACGAGCACGGTGTATTTGACACAGATTTGAAGGTTCGAATCGGCAAAGTAAGGTCAGCATTTCTTCAATCAAAGTACATCTGGAACTCCAACCAACGCCGACGTCGGAATTTTCAATACAAATGTCAAGACAGTTTTACTGTATGTGGCGGAAACTTGGAGAACAACGAAAAGATATAAATGTTTATAACGGTTGTTTACACAAGATACTACGGATCCGTTGGTCAGACATTATCAGAAACAACTTACTTTGGGAAAGAACAAACCAGATTCTGGCTGAGGGATATATTAGAAAAAGCGCTGGCGGTGGATAGGGCACATTGAGAAAATCGCTCAACTGCGTCACTGAGCAAGCCCTCATTTGGAATCCTCAAGGTCAGAGGGATAGAGGAAGTCCAAAGAGCGCATTGCACTGGGAAATGGAGGCAGACGTTGAAAAAATAAGTGACACTCTGGAAAAACTTGAAGGGACGGTTCAGGACAGATTTGGTTGGTGTATGCTGATCGACTGCCTATATTCCATTGAGCGTCACAGGCTTAAATAAATAAGAAAGTCTATCAGAGTTGAATTTGGTTACGTAAGTTACTGATGAATTGACTTCCTACAACCACTTAATATCATCTCACGGTGTATGTGAAGTTAAATCATTTACACTAATGTCCATCTGACAACTTCATCGGTAGCATTCAGTGTTACTCTAAACAATTCGACAAATATTGGCATTATTCAATATACATTGAACAACAACCAATCATTAATGAGTCATTTCATCCTTATTTTCCGCATTGATTTTTAATTTCGTCTTTAAGATGTTGATTAAGTTGAGTAATCTTCAATTTGTTTATTTTCGTTACATTATTGATAAAACTTTAGTTATTTTATAATTTTCTTACTACACTCAGTACACCTGTCTCCCTACTATCCACTTGTACTTTTGCCTATTATATGTAGTGACGCAATCTTTTTCATTTCATTGTGATTATCACTCAAATTGCCTTGATTGGTTGAACATTTTTCAATATAAATATTCATGTATAATAGAGAGTAAAGCCTGATGACGATCTAATCGATTGTTCGCTTATATGTGTTGTTCCAATAATTAATCGTTGCACAAAGTCTTTCATTTTTTTTGAGTTATTCAGAATCACTTAATTAAATTGGTCAGTTTCTGTTGATCTCTGTGTGTAGCGTTAAACGAATACTTCAATAGTGACTATCCCTACAGATTGATTTTACATCGATTAGTGCCTAGCAATAGAATCGAGGACGTAAGTCTTCCATTATTTTCAATTAGGCATCTGACAATGACGAGAAAAAATTCTAGTACAGTATTTTTTATCTAGAATTTGTACAATGAATGTGTTAGTATAAGGTCAACTCCTTTATGTGAATGGCACAGGGAAAATTAGATGTCGGATTTATTTCTGCACTATTCTCGTATTTTTTCATACACATAGTTTTTACAAAGATTGAGAACAATGATTTGAACAGGATACGATGAATTCATTCTTATTTCGTTTGGCTTATTTCGTTGGCTGCTTCTACAAAGTCGAAATATTTTGTAATCAGAATTACAAATTGGATTTAAATTAGTTTACTTGAAAGAGTTTAGTTGGAAATTGTTATGATGATAGTAAGGGTGTAAATTGTTAGGATATTCATCCAATATCCTAAGAGAATTATTAGCTAATTCCTATTGGTTAATTCTTACTGGTTAATTTTATGGTCGTCCTAGATATCAATGTCACTTACTTCAATGTTGTTTCTTATTAGTCGTCCGGACTGTCAATGTCATTTCAAATATTCTTTCTTATTGGTCGTCTTAACTTTCAACGTCACAGACTTCGGTGCTGTTTCCTATTCGACCAAAATGTATAGATATGCAGTATCTGTAAAGCTTTGTATTCCGTTCCTTCCTCTCTACCGTACTCGACCCATTAAACAACTTCATCTAACGGTGTTGCGTTCTGATATATAGGAGATTTGGGAATAGTATTGGAATATTTGAATTTAGACGTCGGTAGGACTGAATAGACTGCATAAAAGATTATAATTATACACTTTTTATACAGAAGAATAATCGACAACAATGACAGTGGTTACGTAATGAATGAACGTTGGTAATCTGTAAAAATTAAATGAGTAAAACTCAGTTAGTTAAAATAACATTCTTACTCTGGAAGACAGTCGATATCCAAAGAAAAGTAATGATGTAATTAGTTTTTAGTGTGCCGATTTAAGCGCGTGTTCTTAAGCTCGGTAATTAGCTCGTCTAGGCAATCGTTACTAAATAGCGTCTGACGGTTTATAAATCAGAAGGTGAACTCATAGTGTTGAATACGTTTATTTGGGACACACCACAAAGCGAAGCGGAGAAGCAGTGAATAAAACGAATGAAGTGAAGTGAATTGGAGAAGGCTGTTGAGCCAACTCCTAGGATTACAATGCGAACGAATGGTTGACAAGGTCAAAAGACAAGTGGGACAAGTCACATGAGCTCATACAAACCAGACAATAATAAGACCGAATGGTACATATAAACTGTTGCTACACAAATGGTTTGGTTAAATAAATTCATCCAAAGGGCTTAACCGAGTTAGATGTAAGCGAACTGGAATATATGTGGAGGCACTACAAGTTAGAAGGAAGAATTGAACAAAATATAACGATGTCATGAAGGTATATTTATTACCTAGGTAAAGAAAGATTCAAAACCATATGTTTTTTGAACCAAAAATTAGGTTACATGAACTTGATAGCAACGATTTCAAAAGACTGAAGCTTCGCTGTAGATTAATTACCTTGAAGGTGTGTAACGTCTCAACCTGATGTCCTATAGCAAAGAGATGTTTAATGATTACACTATTTAAAGTAGATCTTTCTTTTGTTTGAAAGCTTTTAGTAATGTGTTCAAAAAAATCTAAGGTATGTTCTCTTATCTGTTCGGCTAGGGTAGCTGCTTTGGCAGGCACACGTAATTATATATAAGTCCATTTGGCGGTAACATGAAAAGGTTGCACGTCAACCTTTGATTAGGTTATTGAACATGTTTAATACAGTTCTAATAGTTTTTCTACCGGGCAAGTCCTTGCTAATGCAATGTTATCCATCCTGTCGATTGAGCTTGTAATATTAACATCTTTGAAGTCGAGATTTAAAAATATTGGTTTTTTGTTGACTGTAGTCATACCCGACTTGTTTTCGTTCGATTTTTTAAATTTGTTAATAAATTTCTATGGGTAGCGGTTGTTTCTTTGCCATTTTTCAGTACTCATCAGTTTTTTCAGTTTGTCAGAGATACATTTCCTTCCTACTCTATAAAATAGTGTTTTGACCATCGCTTTCTCATAAGTGATTGGAAGAAAACTATTGAAATTCATGTAAAGACCATTCTAAGTACTTTACTGATAGACTGTACATTGTATGGCAGTATCAAGAAAGTGGAATATGTTCTGTTCTCACAGATGGACTGCATGCCTTTTAATATTACAGCTAATAAACATGTCATCAACGTGTTTGGAATATTCTGTCATTTCACTAATCGCTTGTTTAAGCTTCGTCTTTTCGAGATAACCCACATTCTTTGTAGCTGAATAACCTGATTACTAGGTGGATAATCTCTGAAGTTGGACATGTATTGTGTTTAGACTTTTATTGATTGATTTCGTTTACTTCTTTAGTGTAGAGATTGTCAAGATTGTTGAATTTTGTAATTTCAACACAGTGGCTTAGAACTAGGGTAATTTCAGTGACTCCCGAAAGTTCTGGATTCTATCTTTGATGAGGTTGCGATCGTTACTAATGGTGAGACCTATGCTAAAACTAAAGAGATGTTCAGTGCTTCAACATTTTTAATAGTTTCCTGACAAAAATGGTTGTATTTGTTTGTCTAATTTCAGTCCTTAATTCAAACAAATTTTAATCATCAGTTTGTGAAGCCTTAGGCTTGGTATAGTAACTACTTGTACTTATGGTACATTCTTTTTCTAATCAACATTTCATTGAGTTTTAACAAATGTTGGATAGTTTATCAAACTTTTACACATCTAGTGTGTAATGAAAGCTAACAAGAACAATCTATTAATCATAACTGTTGTTACATTCAAATATTCTCATTTTATTGATTGGTCATACCGAGAATAATTAAATTGAAACAAAGATTTTCACAACCTTAGTGTATTTGTTAATTAGGCCAAGTATTATGCCAATCATTTACTAGGTATATATTGTAATTGGCTTCTAACGGTACTCC